ATCTCCTGTAGGGTAGACACACCCAAAGCCTCAACCCATGGTTACCAATGGATCTGGTCCTTTCCATTGCCCCGTAATGGGGTCCTTCCATCTTACCCGTACCTCAGGTCTCTACTCCTGTCATCCCCAATGCTTCTGAAACAGGGGTTCCAACTGATTTTTTTGAAAATTAAGAACATTAATAGTGAATAAGGCCATACCAACTGTTGGTGGGGGCTTATTCCCCCTTTTTGTTTTTGTAATTGAATTTTTAGGTTTTGATGGTTGTGTTCTACAATGGCTTGACCTTGGGGATTGTAGGGAATTCCTGTATTGTGTTGAATTCCCTAAAGTGAAAAGAAATCTTGTAAATTTTTACTCACAAAACATGGTCCATTATCAGTTTTAATTCATTGGGGCAATCCCAAAGTAGCAAAGCACTGGAGAAAATGAGACTGACCATGTTTAGACTTCTCTCGTGTATGAGCAGTAGCCCAACAGGCATGTGAGAATGTGTAGATGGACACAAAAAAATACTTAAGCTTTCCAAAAGGAGCATAATGTGTGACATCCATCGCCACAAGGAATTGGGCTTGAGTCCCCTGGGGTTTACCCCGGCTGTTGCATAGGTGGTACCTATAGAAAGCGTTGACACAATAAGCCATCTTGTCTGCCTTTGCATTGCATTGGGATAAAAGCCCAGGAAATCCTTGGTGCCCCCTAAGATGCTCTAAGAAGATAGGGGCTTTTCTCTCTTTAAGGAGCGTATGAGTCTGAATACTGTCAGAAAGCAATGGCCATGAGTTCCTTGAATTGAACTGCTTTTTGGTTTCTCCACATCTGCCCCGGTCCGTGAAAATATTGTAGGCTTTACTAAGGGCTCCCTCGGCCCAGGATTTGGCAAGTGCTACTGCCGGCAGGGCTGTAGCACTTGGGGGTGGGGTGTTTCCCTGGCCACCTACCAAACTGAAGGGGTGGGGCCCCTCCCTGAGCCACCTTCCCCCAGGCCTTTTCAGCCAGTGTGGCACACTGCCAAAGGTGTTTTTCTTTGTTTTTTTGTTTTTGGTTTTCTTTGTTTTTTTGTTTTTGTGTTTTTTCAAATGCACCCAGCGGCCACTGCGCTGGTCCCACCTGGTTTTCACATGAGCCCCTGACCCGCGCCAGTTGCCAGCTGGGGGGCAGTGCTCCACCCGGCTTTCCCGCGAGCCCCTGACCCACTCACACTTTAGTTCAAGGTGGGTGGGGTGGGCAGCTTTCACTGCGGACCCCGTGCCCTCTGCTCCATCCCACCCTTCTGCCCGGGAGGCTCTGAAGCTGGCCAGGGCATGCCGGAGGTGCTGCTTGTTACTTTGGCCACTTTTGGTTCCACTTCTGTTGCATTTCTGCCTTCTTCCTCAAACCCTTCCCATGATTCCCATGTATCCCCAGTAAAAACATTAGCCCCAAGTAGCCAGGGAACCAAATGAATCACCTCTGCCCAAACCTTTTGAGCTATGGGATCTGACAAATCCAATCCCCTGCTTTTAAGCATATCTCTCAGTGCTTTAAGCACCAGGTCTTCAAACTGAAAATTTGCGTTACCCATATTTAGGGTATTGCTTACCCCGAACCTCTTGATTGGCCCCAATCCGTTTCCCTTCTTTCTTACTCCTTTCTTTTCTTCTTTTCACCTTCCTTTGAGCCCCATGTTTGGTGCCAGTTGCCGGGGGTTCAAACCAGTGCCTCCCGAGGAGGTGATGATTGGGGATGAGTAAGCATGCCGTTCGACAGCCCATGCCGCCCCCATTACCTGGGGACACTCGGACACAACAGGGAGTCTAGTCAAGCAAGGACTCATTTATTGCAGGTGTTACAAAGCTTATAAAGGCACCTGGAACTTCCCCCTTCCCCCTCTGAGGGTGTATCTTAAGGATGGTTGTGCGCTGATCATGCACTCCTCAGCAGTGCGGAAGTATTCTTCAGACTTTCAAAGCAAGCCAGGCCGCGCCCCCCAGTAACTTCCTTTTGGACCTATGCAAGGTAGGGCCTTTAGGTCCCCACAAGTTACCAACATTCCTTTAGATAAGATTGGGGTCTGCTGTTCATTATTCCAGGTGTATGCTGGGGTACTTACTGTGTGCTTGAGTTTGCATGGGACTTGTGTATGCTGACACCTATGACATAAAATCATATGAGCAGGTTCCGAGGAGCTTGTCGGATTCTGTTTCCATATGATCATGCACATCCTCCCTGACTTACAGTTTTTTCACCTCCTCTTCTGAGATGGTCCCTGAGTCTTGGATGGGTGAAGTTTAAAAAAGGTGCCCATGTCTGGTGTGGTGGCACACACCTTTAATCCCTGCACTCAGGAGGCAGAGGCAGGCAGATCTCTGTGTGTTCAAGGCCAGGAACTCTGTGAGTTCCTGGAGCTACAGGGAGACCCTGTCTCAAAAAAGACCTAAATGAATAAATAAATAAATAATAACCCTGGCTCTTACAATATCTCCACTCCCTCTTCTGTGATGGTCCCTGAGCCTTGGGTGGATGAAATTTAATAAAGGGGTTCTGTCTGAGAACCATTATTTAGCAGACACTTGATCTCTACACTTTGGCCATTTGTGACCTTTTGTGCTCCTGGCCCTCCACTGCATGAAGAAGCTTCATTATTGAGAACTGATTCCTTAGTGTCCTCTTCTTTATCCCTCTTCTATGTTCCATGAGCCTTAGGTGTAAAGGTTGCATTGCAGATGTGTCCCTTGGGCCTGGGCAGTTCATAGACAATGTCCGTGTGAGACCAGTTGTGGTACTTGTTATTAGTCTCTGACTGCTGCAAAATGAGCCTCTTTGATGAGTGGTGATTGGGATATTTGTCTGTAAATATAAGGATACATATTTTGTACATAGTAAGAAATCACATTAGTCTAGCAATGTGAGAGTTTTGGGGTTTTCTCTAAGATCTATGACCACTCCAGGCATTTGTATTAGGTTATGTTATAGTACCATACTTGAGTTTCCTCCCATTGAGTGGGCTTTTAGTCAAATTAGGTAGCTGTTGATTTCCCCCAAGATAAAAGTGCCACTACTACACTAATGATGTATGCTGTGCTGGCCACTGATGTGGTTATTTGGTCTTGAAGCTGGTGTTGGACCATCCATTGACGTTTTCCCTTTGCACTTTCATAGCATTTTCCAAAGCTATGAGGGCTAGCCTTCGGGGAAGAGGCTTCCAGGTCAGTTGCAGCTCTATTGCTCCAAATCCTGTATCTGACATATACTCTGTCTTCAGCAGTAGGGTCTTACCTTCAAGTTCTGGGAGGCCGTTAAGGGCTGTGGTAATAGCCTGAGTAATTTTGGGATTCTCTTGGACCACCCTGGCCAACAACTCAAAGGAAGGTATCTCTGGTCTGGCACTGTTTCTTCTTATGTAGCCTTTAGCTATACACATGGACTCATGTAGAGATAATGTATGTATAATTTGTCAGTAGGTTGTTGGACTAATATGGTTCCCTCTGGTTTTTTAAATGAGCTAGGCATTATTTATCTCTCTCACTGTCTAACCCTTCCACCATGGTTTCCCCATTTAAATTGCCCCATTTTCCCTATTTCTCCCTTGATAATACCCTTCTCCTATGGTTCCACTTCTCTTGAGTGCCTTCTTTCC